GTAAATTTTTTTTTTTTTTGCTTGAATGCATTTTCAAGTCAAAATGTGGAAACAGCCTAAATGTCCATCAACAGATGAGTGGATAAAGGTGATGTGGTACATGTATATAACGGGGTACTACTCAGCCATGAAAGAGAATGGAATAATACCATTTGCAGCAACATAGACGGCCCTAGAAATCAATTACAATACTAAGTGACGTTAGTCAGACAGATAAAGAAATATGTGATATCACTTATGCGTGGAATCTTAAAAAATAACACAGATGAACTTATTTACAAAACAAACATATTCACAGACTTCAAAAAGAAATTTACAATTACCAAAGGGGAAACAAGGAGTGGGGAGGGACAAATTAGGAGGTTGTGATTAAAGCAGATAAACAACAAAGACCTACTTTATAGCACAAGGAACTCTACTCAATATTCTCTGTGTGTGTGTGTGTGTGTGTCTGTGTGTGTGTTAGTTACTCAGTCATGTCTGACTCTTTGTGACCCCATGGACTGTAGTTTGCCAGCCTCCTCTGTCTATGGAATTCTCCAGGCCAGAATACTGGAGTGGGTAGCCATTTCCTTCTCCAGGGGATCTTCCCAACCCAGGGAGAGAACCCAAGTGTCCTGCATTGCAGGTAAATTCTTTTGTCTGAGCTACCAAGGAAACCCACTCAATATTCTATAATAACCTGTATGGGAAAAGAATCTGAAGAAGAATGAATATATGTATAACTGAATCACTTTGTCATACATATGAAACTAACACAACATTGAAAATCACCTTCTCCAATAAAATTTTAAAAAGAAGAATGTGTTTTCCAAGATTAAGACTAAAATGTGTCTTGAAGGTAGTTGACTTCCCGTGAACCGCCCAGAAGTACATAACTCTCCACTCTGTGTCTATGCTGCTGCTGCTGCTGCTGCTGCTAAGTCACTTCAGTCGTGTCCGACTCTGTGCGACCCCATTGACGGCAGCCCACCAGGCTCCCCTGTCGCTGGGATTCTCCAAGCAAGAACACTGGAGTGGGTTGCCATTTCCTTCTCCAATGCATGAGAGTGAAAAGTGAAAGTGAAGTCGCTCAGTCATGTCAGACTCTTCGCGACCCCATGGACTGCAGCCTACCAGGCTCCTCCGTCCCTGGGATTTTCCAGGCAAGTGTACTGGAGTGGGGTGCCACTGCCTTCTCCGGATCATGTCTATGACATGTTTCCAAAGGAATAAAAAAGAAAACACTTAGAATTACAATGTAAATGCAAAAGACACATCTCCCCATTCTGCAGCTGGGTTGCTTCTGATGACAACTGATATTCAAACCCGGTTCCCTGAAAAACACAGCCAAGTCTTTTTCAGTGTTTTCCTGTTAATAAAATCTGGATCTAAGAAGAAACTGGAGAAGTCTTTTAAAGGTCTATTGATGGGGTAGAGGTGAGTGGAGGAAGCAGTGGTGGGTATGACTGTGGTCTGCTCTGAGTGCAGCTTGCAAGGTGGTCCTTAAAGAGAACCAGAAACCAGGGATTGGGTGGAGTGCTATCCAAAGGGGTCCTGCTTTCCAGTAGCATCATGGACTGACAACTCTAAATGCTGTCAGTGTGAGGACTCCTCTCTGAAAGCTATTTTATTGGTGTATATTCCAAATAATGGGTGTAGTTACTGATGAGATCTAGTCTTTATTAAATTAGCAAACCATCTGCTCCATCTGTCGGACTCTCTATTGTGCAGCCATCCCCAGAAACACAGAAATGCTACTACAAGCTTTAAGTTTCACTAGTCATTTCAGAGTAGTTCAAAATCCTCTGAGCTCACAAAGGCTGCGATTCATGCGCCTGGAGAATGACCTTTTTTTAATGCAAACAACAGATCGTAAATGGACAAGGAGAGCAATGCGGTCGTAAAGATGGACGGACCGAGAAGCTGTCACAGAGTGAAGTCAGAAAGAGGAAAAAGCACACAGTATATTAAGGCATATATGCGGCGTCCGGAAAGGCGGTACTGACGAGCCCGTCTGCGGGGCAGGAGAGGTGCAGACCGAGGGCGGACGTGCGCAGGGGAAGGCGGGAGGAGGGCTGAGCGGGAGGCCGGGGCTCACACACACCTGCGTGTCACGCAGCCCGTGGGAGGCCGTGGCACGGCGGAGGAGCGCAGCTCAGAGCTCCGCGACGCCCTGCGCGGGGGGGGCCTGGCCAGAGCGCGGGGACACGGGCATGCAGGCGGCTGATTCACCTTGCAGTGCCGCAGAAAGGGACACGGCGCGGTACAGCCACTGTGCCCCGGACCTGAGGATGCTCGGCTCCGCTATTCTGCGCGGCCCCTGGCAGGCCCGGCCTGTGAGGGATGGGCCCGGCGGTCTGTCGGTGCAGGGGAGCTCCGCTGGCCCGTCAGCGGCCTGTCGTGGGGGCCTTCGCGTCCCTGTCTCCTCCCACCCCGGTAACGCCCTAAAGCCCACGGGCCCTCAAACCCCCGTCTCCACACCTGCTTCCGAAGGTCCGCAAACGGGAACCCAGCTCAAGGATCTTATGGTGAGTCCGCCGAGGACCACTCCGACCCCGGGCAGGACAGGGGTGAATGCCGGGCCTCACCCTCTACAGTCCTCCACGGGTTTCCGCTCGGCGTAACCCACGGGAAGATATCTGATGCGGAGAGAAAAATACCTCAGAGGGGCTGAAACCTCGGGGGAGACATGCCTAGAAAGGGGCTCAGGTCAGGGTGACATTCCATCACCTCCTAAGCCTCCAGGTGAGATGGGTTAGGTTAGTTCTCAGCTCTGCCTGCAAAACACTTCACAACATTTTTGCTTTTTTTTTCTTTTCCCAAACACTATAGCTTCCCAGGCCCTGGCTATATAATAAATCAAAATCCATGGATGTAGGAAATGTAGGAAATATATTTAGGGTATATAGTAGGATATATATGCAGGATATATGGACCTTCCAAGTGGTTAAGTGGAAAAGAATCACATGTTCAGTCTCTGAATCAGGAAGACCCCCTGGAGGAGGGCATGGCAACCCACTCCAGTGTTCTTGCTTAGAGAGCTGCATGGACAGAGCAGCCTGGTGAGCTCCAATCCACAGGGTTGCCGAGAGTCAAGACATGACTGGGTGACTAAAAAGCAGCAGCAGCAGTAGGATATATAATAAATCAGAATCCCTGGATGTATATACATTAGGAAATATATTTAAATGGAAATATATTTAAATAAGCATAAATGCATATATATTTACATATACTTAAATGAATATAAATTTATATATATATAAATATATGGATGTACTTTTATATCCATACAAAATATATGAATAGATATTTATACATATAAAATATATACATATTTAAGGCTCCAAATGCAATTCTGACACACAAACCATAGATGACCATAGAACTGGAATATGGAAAATGTTGACCTGATGTGATAAAAACAAATAAGTCATTCCTTCTTTGCTCTTAATCAGATAGCTCTGATCAGAATTCCAGAAGGACATCCAAATTCTTAATAAATTAACTGCAGCCTCCAAGGGTATGGTTTATCTGTCAAAATGGGCCTCCCCTCAAAATGAATGTTTCTCTGTCATGATGGGGAATGACCAAGAATGCTTGAGCACTGAATGGACATCCAATGATGTCCACTCTCTCCCATGACCATGTACCCAGGAAGCATGTCTTTGCAGGAGGAAGGGGGGGAATTCTGAAGGTCTGGATTCCGACCTGGGGCCAGATGCTATTCTGTGTGTCCCAGTCCCTGCCCTCCTGAGCTCTCCCTGACTACGACTCATGTTGCCTGCAGGAGGGGCATGTGTATGCGGAAGGCATTGTCCCCCACTTGCAATTACACCCTTAGAGGCTTGAAGTCAATACTGCATTGGCACTTGGGCAGCAGTGATTGGTCAATGACTCCATCCATGCACAGCTGCACTATTAACTCAGGGTATGATTCACAAATGATTCTTTTCCTATCATAACGGCTGACAGAGACCTGGCAATGAACCCAGTCTTTGAGAGAAAAGCTGATCTTGGGCCAAAGGGCTGGCTAAAATCTCAGGCAGGACATAAATAAATAAACAAAAAATAAGTAAAATCTTTATACAAGTCAATATAAATATATTCTCTCTCTCTCCATATATATTATATATATATAGATAGATATCTAGTTAGATAGGCTTATATATAGATATATAACATCTTTAAACACATATAGATAGATAGATAGATAGATATAGAGAAAGCAAGTAGATGGAATCAAAAAAAGAGCAAGTAGATGGAATCAAAATATATCCAGAGAGCATTCCATACTGGCTTATCAGTATTTTCAGTTCTGCTATATTAAAGGTTGCTGTTTAAGTTAGAGAGACCTGGGCTTGAATAATGGCTCTTCTCCTAACCAATCATGTGTCTTCTCTTGGCCTCAAAGCAGGGGAATAGTACTTTAGGTTGTCAGAAAGAATAAGTAAAATCTTTCACGTAGATATCTTACCTCAAGATAAGGTAAGATGTCTTATCTTGCTTCTGTCTATAGGAAGCATTTTCTTAAGTTTAATCATCCAGTTCAAATAAATTTAGCCCAAACAACATTATCTACCATAAAAACCGTAATAACGAGGTTTGAACCAAAATCGCATGGAGTTATGCAACCCAATTTTGCAACTCTATTATTGGTGCAACTTTAGAAAATTTCATTTAGAAGCAAATGCATGGAAATAACACAGCAATCTAGAAATCATAAAAACACAAAGCTGATGCTTCAGAATTATATTTTACTGTCTCTCCTCGTGTTTATAAAACACACACACACATCCACACACACAGAGCACAGCATGTGAGCCCTGGAAACCCTTCGCTGCCTTCATGCCAATGACACTTCGCTTGTCATTTTTACTTTTTAATGGTTAATGAGTTCCATGTAATAATTGCCAGTTTTCTGCCACCCCTCTGTCCCCTGCTGCAGAAGATCTCATCTACTCAGAGCAGCATGATTGCAGAGCTGTTGAGACAGAGGAGGAATGGCTGCGTCTCACCACTGTTGTGGGCCTCCAGCTGGGAGGCGGAGTTGACAGCGACCTTGCAGAGGGAGCAGTAGAGTAGCCTCTTGGCCTTTTCCTCCTCGGTCTCCGCGGGGGGCCAGGAGCTGTCGCCGCTGGCCGGGGTGGGGCTCTTCTCCACTTTAGAGGCGATCTCAGTTGTCATAACACTGCTTTTGCGAATTTCCACAGTTGTCGTCGTTGATATTGCTGGTGTCCCTGTGGTAGTATCTGCAGTCACAATAGCACAGGAGAAAGGCAAAGACAGTGGCATTATCTTTCCTATTTGAAAATGCATCCCTGATATTGCATTCTGGTAATAATGAGAAGAGCAACTAGCTCTGACCCCCTGTCAACCACGTGGCAATCATCTCCTGAGGAAATGACACAGATGCACACTTACAGATGTGTCTATTGATAGAACACATTTGGACAATTCTTGAAAATACATACAAATAGGCTTTAGCGTGCTTCCTTGAGGTAAATAAACATTCTCAAATCTCTCCTGTTAGCATGTGGCCTTACTAAAATATTCTTTATAGTGCACTGTGCTTTGTATATGTCTGCTAGGATGGCTTTAAAAGATACAATGGAGAGTAAATGCTTCTAAGGTATTTTCATTTCTCTTTACTACTTGTCTTTCTATTTTCCTCTACATTTCTGTCTTTAATTTAAAACAAAATAGGTAAAATAGGGCTTCCCGGGTAGTCCTGTGGTTAAGAACCACCTTGCAACGCAGGGGATGCTGGTGCGATCCCTGGTCTAGGAAGATCCCACATGCGTGGGGCACCAGAGCCTGCTGAGCGCCATGACTGCTGAGCCCACATCCTGTACAACGACTGAGTCGTCTGTACACCCGAAGGCCATGCTCCAGAACAAGAGACGCCACCGCAGTGAGAACACAGACTGCAACTAGAGAGATGCCCCCGCTCCCCGTAACTGGAGAAAGCCCTTGTGCAGTGACAAAGACCCAGAGCAGTCAAAAACAAATAAAATGAAATAAAATCATGGTCAAGACCCTTTAGGAAGGTTGGTTGTGATCCTGTGCGTGCTTGTGCAAAATATATGGTAAGTAAAGAACCCTGATGTCACACTGCTTTGTCAAGATCAAAGGTTTATAAAATCCTTACCTTACTTACAAAGAGCTGTATGTTCCACAAATACAAAAAATCATCCATATGCAAATAAGGCTAATTCTAACCTGGCATATTCATTAAGCATGTGACCTGCGCCGGGACGAGTTCAGGGAGTGTGTGACACAAAAGTACGCAGACACCAATGGCTACTCTCCATATGGAATTCACGGACTGGCCACACCATGCTAATGTCACAGCTTTCAAGAGTGTGATGACCAGGAAGGTGTTGATGCACTGTAACCCTACAACCCTTCTGGCTCTGAACTCTGATTCTAAATCTGGAGAGGTCAACCTCCAAACTGAGCCCACCTTGTCTTAGATTCACTTGGGTAGACACAGCTCCCAACCCAAATAGGCTAGTTAACATGGTGTTAGCAATGTCTGCCAAGTCCGGCATGAATTGCAGATGAGCTCCATGCCCTGTGCTTTCTATTTTTACATCCCTTTTCACTGCCTCCCGGCTGGCTAGCTCTTAACCTCCTACTCAAAATATTCCCAGGCAGCCTTTCCAGCCACAGCTGCACTTGGAATTGTTTCTCCTCCCACGGATTGCCATGCTCACTATCCAATGCCACTCTAAAACGTCCATGGTAAGTGGAGTGGGCAGTGGCTATAAAGGACAGCGGTCTACCTGCAGTGAACGGCTGTCCTCATAAAAATGTAGTTCTTGTTAATTTCTGTTACCAACAAGCCTTTGAACTTGGATTTTCACTTTGATCTGGAGAGAGAGGTGGGAATATGGGTAAAGGTGGGTATGGCTTCTTTCCCAAATATGGCCAGAAACACTAGTCAGTCAGAAGAGAGATGGGTCCTTGCTGTTTGTTTTTAATTAATTAATTTTTACTAAAATTTTTGAACTGTAGTTGATTTACAAAGTTTCAGGTGTACACAAAGTGATTCTGCAATATACATATATATATATATATATATATATATATATATATAGCTATTATATATCTATATATGTGTGTGTGTGTATATATATATATACTATATATGTGCATATGTGAATATATTCTTTTCTGGATTCTTTCCCATTATAGAGGATGCTGAGGGATATTGGCTAGAACAATTTATCTGGAGCTTCCCTTTGCCTGACCCTTCATATATTTTTAACCACTTATTCAGCCATAAGTCCATTAAGGTCCCCTGCAGTATCATGGAGAACATCTTATAACTATGTTAGAAAAAATAGTCATAGTGTCATCACCAGGTTTTCTCATGGCAAGAGAAAAATAAATAAAATTAACTATCACCAATTTTTGCCACAAGAATGCATTACCTTGAACACTGAAAGGTCCACCTCCTGACTAGCTTTTACTCATTTTCTAAGGTACCAAAATGAAAATATCAGGTAATACCAGAAAATTTCAAATCCTAAAAGGTGACACTGTTAAAGTGCTGCACTCAATATGCCAGCAAATTTAGAAAATTCAGCAGTGGCCACAGGACTGGAAAAGGTCAGTTTTCATTCCAATCACAAAGAAAGGCAATGCCAAAGTACATTCAAACTACCACACAATTGCACTCATCTCACAAACTAGCAAAGTAATGCTCAAAATTCTTCAAGCTAGACTTCAACAGTACATGAATCAAGATCTTCCAGATGTTCAAGCTGGATTTAGAAAAGGCAGAGGATCCAGAAATCAAATTGCCAACATCCATTATATCATAGAAAAAGAGAATTCCAGAAAAAATCTACTTTTGCTTCATTGACTATGCTAAAGCTTTTTACTGTGTGGATCACAAATTGTGGAAAATTCTTAAAGAGATGGGAATACAAGAACACCTTACCTGCCTCCTGAGAAACATGTATGCAGGTCAAGAAGCAACAGTTAGAACTGGACATGGAACAACAGACTGGTTCCAAATCAGGAAAGGAGTACATCAAGGCAGTATATTGTCACCCTGCTTATATAACTTATATGCAGGGTACATTATGAGAAACGCCAGGCTGGATGAAGCACAAGCTGGAATCAAGATTGCCAGGAGAAATGTCAATAACCTCAGATGCAGATGACACCACCCTTATGGCAGAAGACAAAGAACTATAGAGCCTCTTGATGAAAGTGAAAGGGAAGAGTGAAAAAGTTGGCTTAAAGCTCAACATTCAAAAAATGAAGATCATGGCATCCAGTGCCGTCACTTTGTGGCAAATAGATGGGGAAACAATGGAAACAGTGACAGACTTCATTTTCTCGGGCCCCCAAATCACCTCAGATGGTGACTACAGCCATGAAATTAAAAGGCGCTTGCTACTTGGAGGAAAAGCTATGACCAACCTAGACAGCATATTAAAAGGCAGAGACATTACTTTGTCAACAAATGTCTGTCTAGTCAAAGCTATGGTTTTTCCCAGTAGTCATGCATGGATGTGAGAGTTGGACTATAAAGGAAGCTGAGCACTGAAGAATTGATGCTTTTGAACTGTGGTGTTAGAGAAGACTCTTGAGAGTCCCTTGGATTGCAAGGAGATCCAACCAGTGAATCCTAAAGGAAATCAATCCTGAATATTCATTGGAAGGACTGATGCTGAAGCTGAAACTCCAATACTTTGGCCACCTAATGCAAAGAACTGACTCATTAGAAAAGACCCTGATGCTGGGAAAGATTGAAGGCAGGAGGAGAAGGAGACAACTGAGGATGAAATGGTTGGATGGCATCACCGACTCAATGGATATGAGTTTGAGCAAACTTTGGGAGATGGTGAAGGACAGGGAAGCCTGGCGTGCTGCAGTCCACGAGGTTGCAAAGAGTCGGACACGGCTGAGCAACTGAACACTGTTCATGGAATTCTCAAGGCAGAAATGCTGATATGCTTTGCCGTTCCCTTCTCTAGTGGACCATGTTTTGTCAGAACTCTCCACCGTGACACTCCTGTCTTGGGTGGCCCTACATGGCACAGCATTATCCCCAGAGGATAAAGTACATTTATACCAAGAATGTCAAAGGTTAGAGACTCCAGACTGTCTATGGCTCAGGCTTAGTACAATATTGATGTTTCTTAAGGGAAGTCCCTTGCATGAGACAGGCTCAGGGAAATCAGAATCAAAACACTGAATTTCTGGTACTGATTCACTGGTGGCTCACATGGTAAAGATCAGCCTGCAACACAAGAGACCTGAGTGTGATGCCTGGGTTGGGAAGATCCCCTGGAGAAGGAAACGGCAACTACTCCAGTATCTTTGCCAGGAGAATTCCATGCACGAGGGAGCCATGCAGTCCACTGGATGGCAAAGTGTTGGACTCAACTGAACGACTAACACTTTCACTCAACCTTGTTACATTTTTTAGGCTGCATATCTGGACAAAGATCTGTTATTAATATTAATATTTTCTCAAGGTTAAGGTTAGTTTGAGAGAAATACAGTTATGTTTTTCACTTTAAACTTAATATATAGATCTTGAGTCCATAAAGGTAAGAGTATTATTAATATATAACGAGATATGAATTTTTCAGTTACTTTTAATTTACCAGTAGTAAAGAGGACTTTTTAAAAAACAAGTAAGGTAAATAAATTTTAAGATTAAGCCATAAAGGAATCAACTATTTTATTTAGATGGCCCTTGGTTTCTGCATCCATTTTAAAATATTAAAAAAAAAAAATTCCAGAAACTTCCAGAAAACAAAATTTTGCTGTGGGAAGGCAATTATTTACATACCATTTACATTGTATTTGCAACTATTTACATAATGTTTCATAGTTTTAGGTATTAGAAGTAATTGGAGATGATTTAAAGTAAATGGGAGGATGTGTATAGGTTATGTGCAACTGCTACATCATTTTATACAAGCACTTGAGCATCCATAGATTTTGGTATCTACAGGGGTTTTGGAACCAGTTCCCCATGGATATCAACAGATGACTGTACATTGCATAGAAAGTGACATATAGCAAAGCTATTTTCTTTAGTATGGAACATTAAATTACCAATTATGCATAATACCTATCCACTCATTAAGATAAAATTTTATATCATTGATCATGTTAATAACATACACTCTTGCTAGGATGTAATGAGACATACCCCTGTGATCTTCTTCCCAAAACTCATAACCCCTGTCTAACCATGAGAAAAGCATAAACAAACCTA